GCCCAAGGATGGACCCCTCCCCAACTTTCCTAAGAACCAGGTTTCCCCCTCCCCTCCCAAACCCCCCCCCCCCAATTCCCCGTACCCCCCAAGGGTCCCCCCCCCCCCCCCCAGACAGCCGAATGCCAAAACATCCACGTTCTACGAATGGCATCTTCGCCTTAGCCATGCCCCGATCACCACACTGCGCAAAATGGCCAGAGACTGAACCATCCCCGGTATGCCCCGAGCGCTCACAACGCACCCCCCAACCATCACATGCTCCGCCTGCGCTCATGGCAAACAAAAACCCTCCCCTCACAAACCCAATCCAAAACAATACGCCGTCGGGAGTTATATTACTTCAGACACGTGTGGCCCCATCCATCCCACTTCTCGCCACGGCCACAACCACTTCCTCACCTTTGTCGACGCCCAGAGTAGGTACCTTATCCTCTACTTCCTAAAGGACCGCAAGGAAGTCGGCCTCATTATCCCCGCCCTCCTTGCGTGGCTTGTCACCCAACGTCACCGACCGCCCGCAGTATTCCGCTCCGACAATGCACTAGAGTACCAAACCAACGTACTGAAGTCACTTTACAAGTCCTACGGTATCAATTTCAAAACGACAACCGCACACCAACCCCAGGAAAATTCACGTGCCGAACGTATCAACCACACACGGATGGCTGCCTCACGAGCCAATCTGTCCCACGCCAAAACTACCGGACACGTATTGGGAGGATGCCACTCGCGATGCAGCGTTTAAGTATAACATTATACGCCACAGTGCGCATGGCAACTCCCCCTACGAAATGTGGCATAAGCAAAAACCCTTGATGTCCCAAATATTGGCCTTCGGACAGAAAAGAACAGCACCCGTCCATCGCAAAAAGAAAAAACTCCAGCCTCGCGCCGACCCCGTCCGCTACATGTACGGACTCACTGACAACTCCAGTATGGTTTTGAACCTCCGCACCAATTCTTACCAACAAATGCGCACGGCAGACTTTAAGCCGTACGCTGCCACCTCCGACCCCGCTCACCAACATGCCCGAGCCTTCCAAACCCAAACCCCAACGCACATACCCATCACTACCCCGAACTCCCCTTCATTTAGATCGTCTCAGACATACCCTGACCCCACGGCATGGGCCACAGCCCACGATGACGAACTAGACACCCTGGACAGCAACGAGACCATCCACTGGCTCCCCTCGCACAGTACACTGCAACACACAAAACCGATCCCTCTCAAAATGACATATAAGTACAAATGGAACACTGACGTGTGGCATAAACACCCCTAAACGGATAGGGGTGTATGCTTAGTCCTGGAAGACCCGTACGTACGAGAAGACGGGGGAAGTCGGACCAGCTAACGAAACCGGAGCACGGGCCCGGGTAGCGTGGTAAAGCGGGATCGGGGAGAGGACGCGCACACGCGCCGGCCGATCTACGCCTCAACGCCCCGGAGCAGCGCTGGGTTACGTTCCAGCGCTGACGGGCGGAGGTGGATCCAGGCTCGCTCGCGTGCTCGCGCGTCCTCTACTCGCGCTCGGTCTCGCCTTAAGGTAGCTAACGGAAGTTTCCTTAGGATAAGCTGGAATTCAGACCTAGGCGGTAGGTCGTGGACAAGTCCGTGCTTGTCCCCCTTCGCCGCCGCCGGTCCGCTCCGTCATTTAATGTACAATTAGTCTATCGTAACT